ATTCATCCCGAATTTGTTTCTAATCCAAGTTGATTACTGGTCCTGGAAGTTTTTAATTAGTCTATATTGCTTCTAAACAATACGGTTGTTGCACACATAAGTTGCCATTGAAGTGAAATATACCAGTATGTAACTTCAAAATCAACATAGTAGTTGATTTTGGGGGAAAAAGTTGGTAACTTCTACCTCTTTGATACTATTTTATTGCAGAACCAAGCTACCGATGTAGAGAAGAAAATCAGTCGCATGTTGACAAGAGACGAGAGCTTCAATTTCAGGGCTGCGTACTGGTCTGATCTTCATGGTCTCTTATACAAGGCACTCCCTCGAGATATATTCCTCTGGAGCCATTTGTTTCTATCATTCCATGTATCTGATGACCAAAAATCTGTTAAAGTTCAATGTAAACACCTTCAAACTGGAGAAATGATTGAGATTATTGGGGATTTGCTAGTCGCGGCAGATGGTTGTATGTCTTCAATTCGCCAGACATTCCTTCCTGACCTCAAGCTAAGGTTTGTAATCCAAGATGAATTTGAAGCATCTTAACATGTTTCTTCTGAATCTTTTCTATCTGTTTGTTAATGTAAAGTTAACAATGATGTTAGGTACTCTGGTTACTGTGCTTGGAGAGGGGTTTTGGATCTTTCAGATGATGAAAAATCAGAAATTTTAGTTGACCTTCAAAAAGTTTATCCAGATTTGGGGAAGTGCCTATATTTTGACTTGGGTAATGGAACTCATAGCGTGTTTTATGAGCTTCTGAACAAAAGGATCAATTGGATTTGGTATGTTAATCAACCAGAGCCACAACTTAAGGTGATTAATATTTTATCCAGTTTTTGCTCTTAATGAACAGCTTCACCATATTTTCCCCTATCTTATTTGCATTCCAATAAATTCTTAGGGGAATTCTGTAACTATGAAAGTAAGCAACGACATGATCAAGAAAATGCAAGATGAAGCACAAAAAGTATGGGTACCCGAACTCACAAGAATCATAAAAGAAACCAAACAACCATTCTTAAACGTTATATACGATTGCAACCCTTTAAAACAAATTGTGTGGGGCCCAGTGGTGCTTATTGGAGATGCGGCCCACCCAACAACACCACATGGTTTGAGAAGCACAAACATGTCTATCTTAGATGCATCAGTTTTAGGTCAATGTCTTATGAAATCAGGAGTTGAAAACTTAGTGGCTGGTTTACAAGAATATCAGTCGATTAGGGTTCCAGTTACTTCAAAGCAAGTGTTACATTCACGAAGATTGGGTCGGATTAAACAGGGTCTGGTTTTGGATAATGGGAAGGTTTTTGATCCGAAAAATGCTACTTTAGAAGAATTTGGTGTTCTTCAACAGAAAAATATGCCGGGGTTTGATGATGTGCCTTTGGGTTTGAGTACTACAATGGATGCAAGTAAATATAGCTCGAAATTGTAGAAGTGTTGTGATTAAATAGGTTGTTAGTTATGATCATGTGCAATTATCAATGTTGTATAATTCATTTTGACAAGTAATATTTCATTATACATAAAAATAAGAGAAAAGGACACCACAAATTTCGAAACTATTACATGCTATGAAATTTGTTTGTTTGTTTTTGTGTGGTTTCCACTAAAAATAGTGAACATAAACTGTGAAATTATCTTCATATACTGGAATATGTTATTTGTTATTGCGAAAATCATTGTTTTTTAAAAAAAAAAAAAAAATAGCCATCTTTTTTTTTTTTTTTTTTGGATGAAATCTTCAAGAATCTTTGCTGCACTAAAAAGTAGTTTTGTAGTATGAAAATGGAGTGTTCGATTGTGAGATTAGATTTTTAGATTGGACCTTAATGGGAAATCGGTGGTCATCACTCTTGAGGAAAAAGTAAAAAAGATGGATATTTTGTGAAAGCATTTCCAAATGTATCTAATTTTGTCATTTTTTCAAATAATAATTTTGAATAATTCATTTTGACCATCAAATTTTTTTAGTGTGTTTTTCTTGTAAAAGAACGAAATCAGAATAAATATACTTTCAGTATAGATACAAATAATACAAATAAGCCCCACAAGAAGTAATTTGTGCCACTTATGGTACAAAACTACAGATACTGACCCATCAAATATTTAGCTAACAACATTTCTTATTCAATATTAACCTATATCCGTGATTATTTTTCAGGCTTTTTCAGAACAAACTACTTTTAGTTTACAAAATTTTCCATAATAAATAGAATTTTCTATCGATGTGATATCTCATAGAAATCTTCACAAACCATACATGTTTTTTTCATCTCGTAAAAAAAAAGGATGATATTACATCGGGTTGTAATCTTTAAATTTTCAATTACACCGAGACTACTTTTATAAAAAGTTTTTACATGTGGACATTTTCTATGTAAAAAAATATACACAGATATTTCTGTAAATTATATGGACAGATTTTACGATTTATTTTTTACATGGTCATCAAACTCTTGAGGTGAATTCTCAACTCCAAAAAATATGATATTCATTTTTCGATTATAATTAGAGATATATAATTTAAATTATTGTAATATTTTAGAGCACGTATATTTCTCAAAATCCAACTGTATCAGTTAAAACATTTAAAAAAAATAAAAATAAAAGTTAAATATTATTACATTGCTTCGATGATGCTACACCAATCATCAGCTGCCACGTAATACAGGCGACGTGTGAGTCAACACCTGCCCCCTTTTACCCCTTCTATCATTTTGGTTTCACAGGAGATTTATTTCTTGTTTCCACCTTCCTCCTTCCAATTTTCTTCACAATCTTCAGCCTTTTCGTTGTGAATCTGATTTAGGATCAGATACTGTTAACAAAAGAGGAAACAACCATGGCGGAGAAATATAATATGAAGAATCCATCGGTGAAAAGAATTTTACAGGAGTTGAAAGAGATGCAATCAAACCCATCTGACGATTTCATGAGCCTTCCCCTTGAGGTAATCCAATTGAAATTCATGTATCTTCATCCTAATATGTCTCAGTTTTCCATTTTCCCGCGGCGTAATTGTAACAAGGTTCTCACCCTTTCGTGATTAGGTGTAGTTAGGGTTTGTGTAGATTAAATTGAATTTTTTGCGATGGTAGCTGAACTATGCTCTTCGATTAATTCCATGGCGTGTTTCGTTGGATTTAACATCATTTGAATTGTGATCTGATGAAAAATGAAAAAAATTTCATCTGTTACAAACGGATTCTTCGATTTCAATAATTTACTCTGTTTGTTTCAATCGAATCAAAAGCTAGGTTTTCGTTGAGTTAAACAGTTTTAAATTTTTCGAAGTTTTCATGTTTTGAATGCGAGTAGTCTCACCTAACCAACATTGGACTTCCATTTTCAACATAAACATCATAATTGATTATGAACTTCATGAAGTGGTGTTCTAATTACGCTCTATATGTATTTTACACAGGAGAATATCTTTGAATGGCAATTTGCAATTAGGGGACCAAATGATACAGAATTTGAAGGAGGAATTTATCATGGTCGAATTCAATTGCCTTCAGAGTACCCATTCAAACCACCATCTTTTATGTTATTAACGGTAATCATCATTTTCTTAGTTTCAATTCCAACTTTAAACCAATATTATCTTCCAAATTTACTTGCATATGCCTATAAGTAATTCAATTGTGTAAAGTATAAACTTGTTGTCATTGTTAATTTCAGCCAAATGGACGTTTTGAAACTCAGACAAAGATCTGCTTAAGCATATCAAATCATCATCCTGAACATTGGCAACCATCATGGAGTGGTAAGTATCTGATTTTGACTTTTTTTTAGGTCAAACAAGTTGTTGACTAAACCAAAACTAATAATCTCTTGAATTGCAGTTAGAACTGCTTTAACAGCACTAATTGCATTCATGCCCACTAGTCCAAATGGTGCTTTGGGATCATTAGATTACAAGAAAGAAGAAAGACGTGTTCTTGCTGTTAAATCTCGTGAATCTTCCCCAACTTTTGGTTCTCCAGATCGTCAAAAACTCATTGATGAGGTCTTACTAAATGACCATTTTACCCTTACATTCCAATATTAAACAAATTTTACAATATTTTTCAATTTTGTGAATATGCAGATTCATGAGTACATGATCAGTAAGGCACCACCCGTCCCTCACCCCAACTCACCGGAATCTGCAGAACCACCATCTGCCGCCGCCACTGAACAATCCGGCGAAGCTCCGGCGACTCCACCAAATGCTAACACAGAGATAACTGAACCCGAAGAACAACAACCTGAAGCTCCCTTAAACAATACAGAAGCCGACATCCCAAGGGTACCAGAGCAGGCGGCTCTGGTTGCTCCACCTCCAGTACCGGCGGCGGTGGTGGTGCAGCAGCAGCAGCACCACCACCACCAATCAACAGTTCAGAAACCGGCGGATGACCGCCTGTCACATGGGCGGCAGTCGCACTCGCCCTTGCTATTGCTGTTCTTCTGTTGAAGAAGTTCATGAAAGCTAGTGGACATGGTGCTGTGTTCATGGGTCAATCTTGAAATGTGAATATCTTTCAGACATCAGAAATTGAGAATTAATGTCTGGATTTACGAATTTTCTTTATATATATCTATATATGTTCTGTCATTTGTGCTACATTTTTGTAATTTTGTTTTCACATTGTGCCACAAATTTGTATATAATAACCTCTAAAATTAATGCTATATAACTGTTGTGTAAGTGTAACTATCGCATATTTTGCTTTTGTATTTTGATTTCATTCTATAACTAATATTCATATCTTCTAATAAAACGTAAAATCATTCCAACAAAAGAAAATTGTCTAAACATCAACAAATGTTTTATGGATTACATTCTCATCTTTATTTATTCTTCAAACCAACGTTAATATGTAACACAACCTCAATGGGCTTAATTGGCCCAATGGGCATCAAGCTAACAAAAGCAAACATCATTATTCATGAATATTCAGCCACTCAGGAATGATATCGGTTTTATTGGTATCTGTAACTGATCAACGGCGTTCATGGACCAAATCAAGAACAGTGAGACAATTACTAATCATCTTTGTAACCTTATCATCATAAGTAGCAAATGGAGAAGTTTTACTTTTACCCGAATACTCGTCTCTACAATCTCCTATATTGGAAAAAACTGCATGAAGCATTGATTTCATTCGATCAACATCTTTAGACAACAATGCTTTCATTGCTTGTTGGAGATTGCTAGACGCATTATCATAGCTATCTTTACAACTTTTCAAGATCCTGTCTCCATCTTTCGGGTTCACCACTGTGTTTGAAAGTCTTTGAGCATGAATTGACCCGAGTTTGATTAACCATGCGATAGATTTCATTGTTTTCTCCAACACGTCGGAATTGCCGTCTAGGAATGGGTAGGCGTCAGAATCGGAATCGGAATCGGATTCCGGTGTCTCTCGATATGGTATTGATACCATTCCGGATGATCGGGATTGGTATTCCGAGTGTGATCGTATTTGTGGCTCCGAGATGGAATGGAATGACAATTGCATTGCTCGAGCCCATGTTTCGAGTCTTGGAATGAGCATTGGAGGGTTTTTGGAACTTGTGTATGGATTGGTTTTCTTGGAAGGTGCGGAATGTGAAACGTGAATGGAATGGAATAACAAAATGGAAACGAAGGAAATGGAAAGGAAAGTGTTGTTGGATTTCATTGTGAAAGTGTTTTGAGTTTTAACCTAAATAAACTGATATATGTAAGTACGGAATGCACAAAAATAGTTAAATATGAGTGAATGACCTTGATTCAAGGAAATCAGACCATGGTCAACTGTATAAATTCCTTAACAAATTACGATCTAAATCGATATAATGTTGTACGTTAAGAAAATTATGAAAGCAACAAATTGATAATTTTTTATTTGTTTAACGAAATGACTTATTTAACCTTTTAGGAAATGTGAACAGAGGAAAATTGTGTGTTTAGGATGACTTTAAAAGGGGTGACCTATATAAGTAATGACAACCACTTAGGACAGGGCTATATTTGTAAAACTGCAGGGATAGGTTGAGGCTATACCCCAGCCAAAAGAGTGTTGTAAGTTCTGCAACTCAAGTAGTACAACGGACTATACGTAGCCCCACTCGTTACCATACTCTGTATCACACGTGCAGGGATGGAACCATTCATGCAAACCAAATTTATGGATTTTTTTTTTTCTTTTAAAATTATGTTGATTTAGAGTAATAAAAATAATTATATATAGCTATATATAAATGAGTTTTTAAAAGAAAATAATTTATTTTCTCCTTCCAGATTACTGTTTATATTCTTTATATTTTTCAATTTTTTTTTTGAAGAAATCTCTCTTTTTTTTTTTTTTTTTTTTTGGAAATTTTGAATGCACCGTTCCAAATTAGATCTTAAATTTCAGGGTTATTTTTTCAGTTTTTTAAAGAAATATCCTTTACTTATGCCTGAAATCTCAGTTTTGAAATGTTTAATGTTATCGTTTTTTAATAAAATGTTTGATTTTATATATTAATATAGTATATAGTTAAAATATATCAGCCGAATTTGAATATGAGGTAGCGTCGTTGGTTGTATGTGGTGAATGATTATCATTGTGAGATCATTTAACATCTGGAGAAGACTAATGACCCAATGCTCTTAGCCGCAAGGCATTCACGACTCAGATCAGAGATATTTGTCTGATGATGACAGTGATTGCTCCGCTTTTGGAGCAGATTCGAGGCTACGAAGGAAGAGCACCGAAAGAGTGAGCGCATAGTGGGTCAGGTGGCTTCCTTTGATTATGACAGCTGAGGGTTATTGACTCTCCATCGGAGAGTATGGGTTCTGTATTGGGGTGATGTACGTCAGATTCTAATGGAGGCCCACAAATCGAGATTCTCCATTCATCCCGGGGTGACGAAGATGTATAGAGATCTCCATTTTGGTTATTTGTGGCCCTACATGAAGCAATATGTAGCTGGGTATGTGGAGAGGTGTTTGGCTTACAGGAAAGTCAAGGCCGAACATCAACGACCTCATGGCAAGATGCAGTTGTTGGATTTTCCCTTTTTGGAAATGGGAGGAGATTGCCATGGATTTCATTACGAAGTTACCTCGAAATACGCGTAGAGCAGATTCGATTTGGGTCATCGTGGATTGATTTACCAAAAGCGCGCATTTTATTTCGATTTAGGAGAGTATCTTTGCGGAGAAGTTGGTTGAGGTATATATCAGGGAGATCGTAGCATGACATGAGGTGTCGGTTTCTGTGGTTTCTGACAGGGATGTCCATTTTACTTCCAGATTTTGGAAGAGGTTCCGCGACGAGTTAGGTACTCGTCTGCATTACAGCACGGGTTTTCACCACAGACAGATGGTCAGAGCGAGCAGACCATCCAGACATTGGAGGACATGCTATGGACGTGTGTTTTGGATTTTGGTGGTAGCTGGGATACGTATTATTCGTTAGCGGAATTTTCGTATAACAATAGCTACCATGCCAACATCGATCAACCTCCTTTTGAGATGCTCTATGGAAAGAAGTGCAGGACCTCGATATGATGGGGTGAGGTCGGTCAGTGATTCATGGTGAGTACCGAGGTGGTACTCAAGACTACCGAGTTGATTCAACAAGTTCAGAGTAGACTTTAGACAACTTAGAGTCGGCAAAAAGGCTATGCCGGCAAGCACCAATCAGACTTGGAGTTTTAGGTTGGGGATATGATTATCCTGAAGGTGTCACCTTGGAAATATGTCATTCGATTCAGGAAGCGTGGCAAGTCGGGCCCCAAATATATCGGTCCTTTCAGGGTTATAGCTCGGGTGGGCAGGGTAGCGTATCAATTGGATCTTTCGGAGGAGCTTAGTCAGATTCACAATTCTTTTCTTGTCTTGCAGCTGTGGAGATGTTTGACTGATGATTCCGCAATGGTTCCATTGGAGGACATTCAGGTTGACGACCGCCTGAACTATATTGAGAGACATGTAGCGATCCTCACCAGGAAGACGAAAACCTTGTGGATCAAGGTTGTTGAGTTGGTTAAGGTGTAATTGATGGGTTTTGAGCACTACATCAATCCTATGGTGTACAAGTAAACCCTAATGCTTTGGATCTAGTTTGTCTAATGAACATGCAATTGAATATCCAAAGTTATGAACCCTAGATCTAACATATTATAAACTGAATTTAGGGTTTAGAGAATACCTTTGATTGTTATGTAGCAATAACAATCTATTCCTTCCTTTGATTGGCTTCAGAAAGCTTAATGCCTCAAGTGTTGCACCTCTAATGGAGTCACAAACACCATGAGCAACAAGGATGAAGAGGAGAAGAGAGGAGGCAGCCAAAAACGTCTAGAATGTTGGATTAGTGTCTAAGTCCATAACTATTTTGGTATGTACTTGACCCAATTATGAGCATGGTCCTTTTGGGTTTCCTTCACCATAGCAACTAACGCACGCGAACGTTTTTTATTTTTTTTCAAAATTGCGCATATTCTTCATACTAGCTCCGTTTTTGAAGTTCTTTACATCCCCAGAAAGCCCTCGACAAGATCTACAACTTTCATTTAGACTGCGTCGGCTAACTTTGAGTTTATATTTTTCACACAGGCTTAGACTGTTAAAGCCCGTATAAAATACATAAATCTCTCATCCGGTGTCCGTTTTCGGCAGACTTTATATCGTTGGACTCCTAATAACGAGATATTTAACTCTCATTTAGATTTTTTTGTATAAAAATCGACCAATCTAAAATTTGAATTCTAAGTTGTATACTGCTATGCTAAATCTTTAGAAAAATCATAACTTTCTCTCACGAAGTCTGATTTTGACGTTCTCTATATGTACGCTCTCGGTTTAACTATTACTACGACTTTTTTTTAGATCACTTAGGCTAAAAAGTAATTTTAAAAAAGTTTACTTTTTACAATACGCAGATCCTTCCCGGTTTAATCACGAAACTTCAAAGAAGCATAACTTCTGCATATGAAGTTGGATTTAAATGCTCCTTATATCTCCATAATCCTTATAACGTATACTATAACTAGGTTAATATTATTCATCCTAAGTAATCTTTTATCTTCAACGCGTATTATAACCTTATTTGTTATATTATTAAATACTTATACAATTTGTTTAAAGTATCGTATAAAACACATAAGCACATAAATATATGAAGAATCCTTTCTTATTCATTCAAATAAAAATTACAATAGTTGACCAAAGTGATTATAGACTGTAACTAATCTAGCAGGAAACGCGAACATTACATCTAATGGCGCGTGGACTATGACAAACACTATTATGACATGTAAAAGTGCATGTTATAAAAAAGATGGCATCTATACAAAAAGTAGAAGGATTTACGATAAGCATTTTCGTACGTCATAAAAATAGTGTGACAATAAAAAATAATAATAAAATCATGGAGGACACCTATCAAATATGTGTGTCAAGAATATCTCGTCTTTTTGTGTCCATTTTCCTCATCACAAAATCGACCAACTAGGGCTTTTTAACAGGAAACCTCACAAATCATTCAACACGTATTGATCCATAGATTTCCCTTTTTCTCTCTGTTTCCATCTCCCTTCATCCCTTACCAATTCGTCTCCCTTCCCCGACATATACGATGGTCACCACATAGCTTGTTCACATCTAGTGAAACAATAATGAAAATTCCTACACTTCTATTAAGCATCACTTTCCAAAACTTGTATATTCTGCTCACTAAGATGTTCTACCTCCGTAGCCACGTCGGGCGTAAGATTTTCTCAATCTATCACTTCAGGTCTCATCTTTTTTACTCAACATCAACTAAAATTTCACATGTTGATGAATTTACATCTACAAAAATAACCGATTTCGTAGATTATCTTATAAATACACTCAGATTCTCCAAAGAATTTGTCATTTCCTCCTTATCAAAGGTAAGCCATTTGAAAAACACTCGGAATTATGATTCAACTGTTTATATCCTGAAAAACTGAGAATTCGATAATGCCTAAATCAAAGACATAGTCGCATAGGTTCCAAAAGTTCTACAAGACAAAGCAAGCAAAACCCTAGAACCCAAAATTAAGGTTTTTCTTGAGCTTGAATTAACCGAGTCAGGCCTGATAGGTATTCTCAAGAGAAACCCTTGCTTATGCGATTTGGGTTTACATTAATGAATAATACCTGCCATTGGCTACCTTTGAGTCCTCATGGAAACTAAAGAAAAAGTGGTGGAAACTATTAACAGATCAAGATAGATGTTTTCAACATCTTTTGCTCTAAAGATGTTTTTAGACAATGTAATTATGTTACAAACTAATGGTTTCTCAAATGATAAAAATAGGTAATTATTTCATAAGAATGCTATGTATTTTATACAACCACTTGATTAGTTACCAAGTAAAATGAATTGTATAGAGGATAAACTAGGTGTATCCCATGATTCAAATGAGTTTTTCATTGTTTTCATGCGATTGCTTCAAGTTGTCTTTTAGGAATGGACAAAAAGATGGAAGTTTACAAGAGTTTTAGGTTTACTAATACTAGATTATCTACATTATTTAAGAACCAGCCATA